CTACACTGGGTGGAATCTGCTCTCTTGTGACAGCGACAGTGCGATATGTTTAAACTTTCCCCAGGGCAATGTCAAGAACTTTCAAACCCTATCGTTTCGTGAACAAGATCAGCTATAGACATTGTTTGCAGCTGACTTATTTTGTTTCTTCCCTTTCTGCATCTATCTTAGTCTCTAAATCATTGTGTATTTGTGTGCTCGGGCACACTCGATTGTACGGGCTCCATCGAAAATCAGCTCATCCATAAACAACAAAATTGGACGTCTTCGGGGCTCAAGACAGCCAAGAAGAGTCACGAGCGAAAGTGAACATTCCGTGGTCAGACAGACTTAATTCTCCGCTGATCGAGACGGTGGTGATTGGGAGACACTTTGAGGCTCATTACGCTGTCCAGAGCGTCACGCTGTTGCCGGAACCCTATATATACATTTGCAGGGTTAATCCGACCGCTAATGAGCCTTCCACGTTGTCCTTAATGTTTTTGCATTTTTTCAGGGGGTCCTACGCTACTGATGGGCATTATTTGCTAATGTGCCTGGGCACGATTTGCGCGATGAATAATGTCTACCATGGAAGTCCTGGCTGTTTCCCGTAAGGCGGGGTGCAGGCGCATCACTCCCGTTAGGCATATTCGACACGGCTTGTGTTGATGGTCCTGGCCGGACGGTTACCGCTGTCGATTCAGTCGGCTGGTGCGGACGGTTACCGCTGTCGATTCAGTCGGCTGGTGTCGATCGGCAGATTTTTGCAACTGTTCCATCAAATACGTACATTGAAGTGAAGGTCAACACGTTTCAAGGGTTCCTCCGAATGTAGACGGCTAATAATCTGCTAACGTTTTGTTTCCGTTTTCCGATAAGAAGTAGCAAAATAACACAACTCTCTGCGGTCTGTATAGCTTGAAACGTCACTGAATAATGCCAAAACACCCCCACAACAGCACAAAACTAGACCATAGTCAACAATAGACATAAATCGCGTAATTAAAAACATGCAGCATGTAGGAAAAGCAGAGGGAAAACCTTAAGCAAATACGGTACCACCGCAGAACTTAAAAAGTGTGACTAGCTCAGTCTGGTGCGCTAAACCGGACATGATATTGCAGTTCTCATATTCTTTTATCCTTTTACCCGTGAAACAAGCAGTATAAATCTTCTGTACATCTTATGTAATTTCGAGCTTCTATTTGCAATGTCCTACATGTACTTGGGCTACAGAGGGTTGGGGGGAGGAGGGAGCAAACTCGCCGTTGGGGGCCAGATTTATCATTGGAGGTCAGTAGCCCACCCAAAAGAAAGCAAATCGACACCCTTGTCACCGATCCACATGAAGCAAGACAACGTGAAACAGAAATAGTACCTATATGCCTCGCCGAGTAAACTCGAGGCAAACATCCGCCGCAGCTCGAACGGTTCAATTGCCTGGAGTTCGCCCTGCACGCGCAGGTCTCAGAAGTTCAGAGTTCTTATACTGAATCATGGATCTTCAATACACAGGGAAGCATTGGTCAAATGATTCTATAGAGCAAACATTGATTATAAGAGTGCTGTCAACACTCGACGCTTTAAGCCGTGTTGATGGCCACGGGTCACGGCTGAACAAGGTTGAGCAAAACTAAGAAACAGTTAGTCTTAAAACCAAGACACGTGAATCCAAAAAGGGATCTGAATCTGTGTAGACACTGCCGCTAAAAATGATGCGAAATAATAAATCATCAAACCTTGACATTCCGATGCCCGATTCCACGCTCGGGGCTGCATAGGGCAGAGGTGGGCAAGCCGGAAGATTACGATGACCCATTCTGAGAATTAGATTGGAAAATTACTTATCAATAACGTTAATGCACGAACCTCACGAACATCGCTGGTATTCGGGTTCTCACGTCTTAGAACCCGATATACAGCGCAGCCAAAGGCCGTCCGAAACAAAGATGGCTGGTCCCAAAGGCTACGATGACTCGAGCCGTGTACCAGGACCAAAATGAAATTGTCTGTGAGCATTGGTTCGATAACTCAGCATAAGAACTCTGAGCTCATGGTGCCGACAAGCCAAGAGTTAAAGACTTCCGGCTGATATCGGTTTTTTTAATTTTGCGTACGAAATATCTCTGTGGTGTAATTCTACGACTGAAAGTTCGAGTAACAACAAATAAGATGACGTTGGTTCCAAAAGTTATTCGTTGCGCTCTGCAGACCTTGGATCGCCTGACTGCTAGCATCTGTCTCCGTGGTCCGGTCTCTAGCATTTGTCTCCGTAGTCCGGTCTCTGACAACTGTCTCCCTGGTCCGGCCTCTGACAACTGCCTCCCTGTCCGGTCTTTGACAACTGTCTCCCTGGTCCGGTCTCTAGCATCTGTCTCCGTGGTCCGGTTTCTGACAACTGTCTCCCTGGTCCGGTCTCAAGCAGCTGTCTTTGTGGTCCGGTCTCGGGCAGCTGTCCCCGTGGTCCGGTGTCTGATAACTGTCTCCCTGGTCCGGTCTGTGACAACTGCCTCCCTGGTCCGGTCTCTGGTAACTGTTTCCGTGGTCCGGTCTCAGGCTGCTGTCTTCGTGGTCCGGTCTCTGACAACCTGTCTCCCTGGTCCGGTCTCAGACAGCTGTCTCCGTGGTCCGGTCTCTGGCAGCTGTCTCCCGGCCCGATCTCAGGCAGCTGTCTCCGTGGTCCAGTCTCTGACGGCTGGCACGGTGGCGCTGCCACTCTCCTGATCAAACGCCGGCCGGCCGCAACCTCGTCGGACCAGGTCTCCGGCATGATCTCATTACTCGTAGATACGCGACAGGGACAGACCACAAGGTGGGCAAGCCCGATAACAGAACTTCATGAGTGTCGCCCCGGGTTTGCTTTGACAGGTACGACGGCTCTGAGCCCGGTCCCCACAGCCTGCTTCCATTAAACCAGATGTGGTTCGGAGTTCGCCACCGCAGTGGAAACTAGTTCAGCTTGACAGACACGTGTCGTTCTGCTCCGTCAATGTTTGCCCATTGCGCTGTCGTTACGTTGACGCGTCGGCGCGTTTAAAGCCTGTGCTGTCTCTCAGTAGAGAACACGCATGAGCAGACATAGGGCGTTTGTGGGGCAGATACCGGGCGGGGCTGCGAGCTGAATTCATAAGGCTGGAATTGGTCGTCAGGTTAGTTGGTTGTGTTGTAGTATCCTTGGGCGGCGGATAATCAACATCATTTTGATGAATGACCGAATTCATGCATTGGCTATTTCATCATCGCCATTCGTACGAAACTCAAAATGTGTGGATTTGATGCAAAAGGATTCGAACGCCCAACTTTCTTAACTACACATGCTTGTAAAAATGCCCAGAAAATGTAGTGAAGGCCCTAACCGCCAAAACCAGAGCCCAAATGCACGGCAGCATCCGTGGTGACCGCGATGCCAGAGGTGTAACTTCGTATGACCTTTGGCGTATAAGTCTGAGTGGTTTGAACTGAAGCTTGTTTAAGTTGGTGTGTTAGAAAGCATCTGATGTAGCATACATGGGGATCTTTAGGTTATGTTTTCTCGTCACTTCTGTTCTCACAAAAGTATGCGTGGTGCTCTTCAGCGTAACAGGACCGGTGAGAACTGCCATCATGTCCTCCCGACAGCTCATGCAAGCAGGTTTTCGGAGTGTCGCGGAGAGGCGAAAAGTTCGCATTCAGGTCATATGTTTCCATTGTCTTAGGGTTTAGATATTTTCTTCCGCTAATGCATTCTTAATTCATTGAAATGTTATCACCCCAATTCGCATCCCCTAGACACCCCACGTGAGTTTTTTTTGAAATGCCGCTAGGGGTGATTAATCTCGAAATTATGATCTTTCGATCTGCGTTTGTGGTTGCGTCCAAATCGGGTGATAAATGTAACACCTGCGCCGGGGGCGAGAGGATAGTCATGTGAGTACCCGGCGGTGACTGAAGGGTATCGCTCGGATTACAGTCAGATGACCTTGTTCGTGTGACCTGTCAGTGTTCGAGGTCGCCCAGCCTGTCTGCCACCTGGTTCCGACCAGTGATGCTTCGCAGGAACTTTGCTGTAGCAGTAGGGGCATGGGGTGCGTCGCCAGCAGAAACTCAGGCTATCAAAAGCCCGCCTCTCCACCAGGCTGCTGTGTTTTTAAGCTCATAAGACAGCCGCCGACTGTTGCCTATGGCACCGACACCAGCCTTCTGTCGCACATATGACTAGATCGGGGAGCGAAATCGTGCACACCACGTGCGTGATAGGAAATGTTTCGTTGTGGAATTATGCAAACCTGAATATTTTTTCCGCATGAAACATCTTTGTTTGAATAGCGTTAGAACAGACTGGTAGGAAATTGTGGTTTTGCAAAATATCCCAGCCAGGTATATAATGCAATATCATTGTATCTTACTTATAACACACTTGCAGCAGCACGCCGATTGCTTACTTTTGTGTCAATGCATCCACCACTTGTTTCGTCTTGTCTTGAGGCAGCACTAAATGTTGCATCCTGAATGAATTTGTGGTAGAATCGGGAGAACGTTCTGCGGGTTTTACTGTTTTTAGCACGCTATATTACTCATGGCTGGATGGGTAAGGTAAAGACTCGTCCAGCAAAGGTGAAATTATGGCCTTAGCTGCGTGCATTAGGCGTAACATCAATGCCAGAGATTTCGACGGAATCTAACATGAGTTTAAGTTGCACTGCAGCGTAACACCACCGTTGTTTTGGCCTGGCACCTCCGTAACTTTGACACATTCCTAACAGCATTCCCAGCAAACCAATTATGTTTTAATGACTGGCTTAATGTAATGCACATCAGAAATCAAACTTATAAACGTTTGCTTGGAGACACAACTATTGAAAGGTTCAGCTCAAAACGTCCCGCATCCACTGTGACGGGCCTTATCACGCGGCCCATGCCGCCTGCCCACCGTTTCTTTTGTCGGGCGGCGCCGACGCGCCCCAGTGCGTGTGCGTGTTACTGGTGCCCCACACCGCGACCCAATTGGATCAGCCCGAGGGGGCAGCACCGGGTGTCACCTTGATTTGCTGCGGTTCCGGCTCCTCCAGCAGCTTCTGGCAGTAGGAGGCGGTCTTGAGAAGCGGTGGGTGAACCAGTCGCTCCACGTAGCCATGGCAACAGCGGCGGCTCGCAGAGCGAGAGGCCGCGCAACTGCTTCCAGCCGCCCATGCAGCAGGTGAACTGCGGTACAGGTCACGTCAGGTCACAGCGTGGAAACAGGACAGGGCAGCTGAGGCGCAGCGCATGTCACCGTTAGGTCACAGTCGGGGAGGGGAAGAACACATGAAACGCTGCACAGGGCGGGTCGTAGCCAGAGGGTAAGCTGAAGAAGAGCACCACGAGGCACGAGCATATATACATACATATATATATATATATATATATATATATATATATATATATATGTAAACAAGACGCATATAACTCCATAGATGTAATAAACGGTATATCTTCGTGAAATTTCTGAGACCGGCCAAACCGCTGCTCTATAGAGTCATTTTGAGCTATCCCCAACATTATATAAGATGGAACGTTACAAAAGATGGGAGTGATAAGCGCTTCTCTTCATGCTGCTGTTGGGTCTGACGTCGAAGTTGACCTCGCCCATCACTTTTTGCACTTGCAAAGCTGTTCCTAATCTTGAAATTTCCTGTTGACTGCACTGCATCTTCGGGATTTTTCTTTCGCGACGCAGCAATAACGGGTTTTCTCAGTTTTATTTTATGCGAAACGGCAAGTTTGAGTTGAGTACGTCCACGTTCCTCGTCGGTTTAGCGTCCCTCTACCTGGGCTCGGGGCTCGTGTCTGCAAACGCTCAGCGGACCCCTCTACCTGCGTCTTGGTGTTTGTTCCGTGAAACACACTCTTCCTTACGTCAGGAATGCTCCTCCGCCTATGTTTATGGGCGCATTTCTACCTGAATTTAAGGGCTTGCAAGGGGTGCCTGTTTCGGTTGTTTGGGCGTCTCCGCTCGGTCTCAATGCTTCTCTATATCACAATGCGGTGTCAAATCTGAAGAATGCTGCACGGTACACCAAAAATGCACGGTTTACCTAACAACAGCGGGGAATATCGACCGGTGTGGCGTCACTTTGCCATTAAAAATACAAGGTTTACGTGACAGCACTGTGGAATATTGACCAGCGTGACGTCACTTTGCCATTAAAAATGCACGGTTTACATGACAACAGCGTGGAATATTGGCCGACGTGAGGTCACTTTGCCTCAAAGAGGCCGATCGGGCAGGCAATTACTGAAGGGAGCTGAGGTCGGCAGCACCTACCGAGGCCTGTTCGTGAGGGCTGTCATGAAGACACTCCTGTCACTATTCAGCTCTTACGCAAGAGAAGCCATGCATGACATTATTTCCTTCCACGCTACGTCTTGGAAATGCATCTGGTCAGCATCAGCTCTTTATTGGAGGGCATGATACACTTCTAGCTGAATCGAGAGTTTGTTGGGAGCCGGTACGGAGGTAGCCGTGCCGCCGCCCACCGCCTTCGGTCTGCCGTGCTGTTCGCTCTCCCGGTACGTGCTGTGTGCGGCGTCTCAAGGATCCGACTGACTTAGTTCTTCTAATCTACTGAGCGTATGTGTCATTCATGCCAGCCGTCCAGTCTAGTGATGCCTTTGCACGCCGAAAATAGTTGGCATGCGTCAAGAACAGCCTTTCTTTTTCCTCGAAAAAGGTTCTTTGGCTTTTCAGAGTTGCCGTTGGTGTGATCCACGAACCCACCACCACCATTTTCTGGTATACGTAATGCCGTTTCAATGCCTAGGTTCCTCCTGGAAAGTTCACATTATCCTTGTCTGATGATATCCAGACGTTGCTGTTTAACGCTTGTCGGGTAGTGCTTGTCTAGTAATGTCGAGACGTAAGTCAATAAGTTTGACATAGATCAAGCAAGCGCATGTACGTACTGTTTGGTGGCAGCGCGCCAGCCGGAAGCGAGTTGTACTGCCAGTGTAAAATCGTTGTCAATCAGAGGGTTTTTAACCCATCCAAATTGCACATTATTTACGAGCTCTTTACAAGGTCAGTCGGCTGGGGTGGGGCAAGACAGTGCATGAAATAAACAAACGTAAAGGTCGGGGTTTCAGCGCGATCTTATTAGTAGTAACAAGCGGATACACCTATTGCGCATACCGCTCCGCCAGCCGACCGTTCTCCAGCCGAGGGTTCCGTCCGATATCCAGCCGACCGTTCTCCAGCCGAGGGCTCCGTCCGATATCCAGCCGGCCGTTCTCCAGCCGAGGGTTCCGTCCGATATCCAGCCGGCCGTTCTCCAGCCGAGGGTTCCGGCCGATATCCAGCCAAAGTCATCCGCTAGCGGACGATTCGGGTTAGGAGGGGCCCATGGAACTGGCCGCGTCTTATGATAACTGCGTCCAGCCATCTCAGTGTGGATGCTTGCATGTAAATGTAACAAACATGAGCTCCTGTGATCCAGAACACCACCTGAAATGCCGCTTGCACACATTTAAACTACATGGGTGGAGCTACACCCTGTCAATGCCAAAATCTAGACTCAACCATCGCCCGACGGAGTCATTTTTGCACCATCACTCGACGAGGGGGCCTGATTATCTCCCCTACCTGCTTTTGAACTACGATACATAGACCATCGGAATGAAAACCGGCGTGTTGCTCGATGTCTCTAAGCTATCTAACGATGTGCGGTCTTGTGATGCTAGGGTAATAGGTGACCTTACATTCTCACCTATTACGATATCGCAAGGATTATGCCGAAAATGGGGCTAAACGTTCCCGCCGGTTTATTTCAGAACTTAAACAACAAACAGTAATTCGGCAAACACCAGCGTGTTCCTTGCCTTCTTGCAGTTCTGCAAATGTAAGGAATCTTGGGTGTCTGGGTCAACCCAATGACCTCTCAGGTCACGAAAACAGCATCGCAGCCGAAACGGTCATCGGATACACTGGCGTCGGACGAGTGGGAAATAATGGCATGGACCGACAAGAAGGCTGAACGTTTGGAGCGTCTCTCGTCATCGGACCGCTGTCTTGCCATCTAAGATGTATCTCACATCGATGCAGAAAGTAATGATGTCGCCGGGGAAATAAGTCAGCGTTTGCAACCTCCACGGCCAGCCCTCAGCGGAGAGGAGGGCAGAACGCTGACCTGAGACTCAATGAGAAGTCGGAGCTGATAATTCGCTGGAGACGTTTACAGCATTGTTTCGCCTGCATCCACCCAGCACTCGACCACCGCTTTTCAAAAAAGCGGTAAGCTGTTCGTAGTTGAAGAATTGCAGTCGAATTTGCATTAGGGGGATTATGTCACCAAAATCAGGCACGTCCGTAGCGTGGCATAGTACATGATGCGTCCATAAGTTAGCTTTTGGCGTGGCGCTACCTTTCAATGTCGGCTGATTATTTTGCTATCTGCGAGATTGAACAACGTATATGCATATGTTAGGGCAGTGGGGGGTTTTCTTGACCCAATGTCTCTACGAAAAGTTGCACATCAGGGAAGGGACAAAGCGAATGTTGTGAAGGGATGCTCTTCCGCTTGGATTTTACATCACATGTTTTCCCAAGATTAGATTGGGTCGGACACAAGTCGTTCGCATCTTGGCCACGTTTTGAATGAAATGCCAAGTGCCATCTGTTGTAGGCTGCGGCTCCGAAGGGACCAAAATGAGTGCATTTTATTCAGTCGTAATTTTGACATTTCCATGGTCGTAACCAGGTTTGCGAAAGGCGTAAGGACTTTTTAAAACAGGACGCAATCATGGAAACACATTAGGAAACAAGATGAGCTTGTGTTAGTGCTCTGATCAGGGCACCTCACCCTGTTCCTCTCATGTTCCACCTCCACACCTCGCACTGTCCCACTCCATTTCCAAGTTTGCCCCACCCACGCGGCAAAATGGAAAACCACAGGCTTGTTTTCAAACGTTTGTATAATTGCAAGGAAAGGTCGCAGCGCCCAGTTTGTAACGTACACTGATGACAGACTCCCACGTGGCCTCCACGAAAGGACTAAGCTCCTTCCTTCTTCTTTATTATTGATTTCCTACTTTAGCCAACTGCGCAGTTGTAGGTCCGCACATGACATCCCTATTCCCTGCATACGCTGTCGGCCGCCGAACCGCACGCGCTCCCCCAGTGGGCTGGCCGGCAGCGTGCATCGACACGCGCCCGGGTGGCCGGTTGGATACCGTTCGCTCGAGTGCGGGTCAATTTAACCCCCTTCCCCCTGAGATATCAGGGACTAAAATACACAGAGACACTAAATTCACAAGGTATGATAAACTGTACGTGAACTCATTTAGGTCAAAGTTTGAGATTTATGGGTGATAATCTCGGGTCAGATAAGGTCAAACAAGGTCAAATTCCAGGTTTGTCTTGAAAGTGTCCAAACGCCTAAATATACGTTCTAAGCAAGAGGTCACATGCTCATGTAAGGTCAGTAACCTTGTTTGACCCTTTGAAAGTGATGGCGCTAAAATCATACAAGACTGTTTTGAGTTCTGCATTTCAGCAAGTGATAAAGATTATGCTAGGCAGTACGCTCCAAAGAATAAAATGTTGACCTGCTTCATTTTAGGCCATTGACCTATTCTGACCCTTAAGTAGTTACATGAAATATGTAAAATGAGATTTCTCTCACCAATAAATTTGGAATGAACACTAGAAACTACCCCGCACAGCAAGACCCATGCAAGCAGGTTGGCCTTGGTCTTGCTCTGACCTTCATACCTGACTCTGGTCCAATGGACTTTGTTCATTTAAGCATTTTGTTGCTTAAGAAAGTATCTCAGAGATGTATGGTTTCTTCCAACACCCCGTTGTTGCATCAGATTGAACAATTTCCTGGAAAGTAGCTTCGCTGAATCCATGCCTGACTTTGACCTGCCGTAGGTCAGTGATCTTACAAGGTACATGTGAATTTGTGATACAAAACAATCCGCTATTTACTTGTCTACAGCTGTGTAAAATTTGGCACGGCTGCTCCGCCCCGTCTGGAGACCCTCCCGGAAAAACTTTCTAGGTCAATTTGACCCTCACCCGAGTGCGTACGAATACCATCCTCTGACCAGCAATTTATACTCACTGTCATCCACCCAGCAGCCTGCCCACGCTGTCGTCTGTTCAGAAGTGCGGGGTTCGTGCTGAAATATGTGCAACATTCTGCGGTCATGTACCCAAGCTGAAGCCTGCCTAGCAGCCCGTACTCACTCTGTCGTCTGCTTGCATGCCGACAACCAGCAGGGTGAGCAGCAGAACGGCGTGCCGGCTGAGAGTCATCTTGACGTCGGTGTCAGCAGTCCTCGTCCGCCGCCGGTCCGTACCTGTCTGTGATGGCCGGCAGCCTCCGTCTAGCCGCCGCCGGCCGCCCAGTACGTCGGCGCCGGGGCATCCGGCGTTGGGCGCCGACGTCAGCGTCTCCCCGCCGCCCACTCACGCGCGGGACATCAGATCAACTCGTCAGGCTCTCGTTTGACGGCCCTGAGTATGCCCAAGTTTTGGACCTTTCTTCGGTAATGACGCTCTGAGGGTTTGAAAGTGGTGATGTCGGCGACGGCATCCGCAACAGATCCGCCACATCTTGCCCGCGCTAGATTTTTCCTCTACGTAAGTGTTACATTTACATCAATGCCGCACACAACCTCACGAAATATCTCATTTCAGCAACGTGTGCGAGTATCTTGACGTACTGTATATATTCACATGTAGGTTCCCATCAAGGCTTGCATATAAAATTATACGTAAAGCTTACTAATCTTTTGCTCACTTACCTTTGAGACCACGAATGCATCCGAAGGTTTTCTCAGAGGCACACCAGCCTCACCCATTCGTTTCGCATAACGATCTATTTGATATCAGAAACATGCTGCCACACTTCCTAAAAAATCCTCCATCAAATCTCGGTCAAACCTTTTGTAATGAAACCACAGTGGGAGCCTTGGGCAGCAGAATAGCCCATCTAATGACTGTCGTGTGCATGAAAGCGGTAGAATCCACATCCATCCCCTGGCACGCAGGAACGTACAGCTTTTCTTCCGTGCCAGGGGACGACTGTGGATTCCGCTGCTGTCATGGACATAACAGCAGTTGGTGGGGCTGTTCAGCTGCCTATGGCTCTCCCTGTGATTATATTACATGGATAACATTTTGAACCATGAGCTCACATTGTTAGACACAAATCTCCAGCGCGTCAGTATCTTCAATCCAGCTTCCAGCTTCACGCCAGATGTCAAAGATCACCACAATTCTGTCCTTGGCCTTGTTTATTTCCGCACAGCCTTTGCTAAGTTCTGTTTTAAAGTCGTTCCGCAGCGATCGTCCTCAAGAAGCCATAATTTTTGTGTGCAAATATTGAGCATTATGTGCAATTGGCATATGACCTGTTACAGCCTAAGGGCATATTTTACGGAGGTGTTTCTACTCCTGACCATTGCTCAGTAGTGTCAAAATGTTTTGGTCAGGCGTACCTTTGATCTTATTCACAACACCAGTGACGCTGAAATAGGCTTATTTCGCCAATACATTCAAGTCATTACAACAATATCTGAATATGTTACGCGTTGTTGAAGTATGTTGATTCACTTGCCCCTGCCATGCTGAGAGGGCGTCAATTTATATTTTGGATTAAAGACAAAATTCTGAGACCTTCAGAAGAATTTTTGCAGAGGTTTATTGCAACAAGGGCACCAAAACGTGCTCTACTGACGGTTACGGGGCTGCTTCGATATGAGACATGTCAGTGGAATAGTAGACGACCACCGCCGAGGAGGCTTTGTGATAGCCTCGGGCACCGGACGTGGGGTGTTTCTAGACTTCACCTGGTTTATCCCTACAATTCATCTCTGTGACAGCAGGAAGCTCATACTCCACGCTTAGGACCGTTTACCTTAATCTACACGATTACAGCTGCATGAAATAATGCGTGCCACCGCATGGGGTAAGGCTTTGCCGGCTGGGCTTAAATTCGTTGGAGCAGAGTTAAACACTCGCATGGTACCATCACAGTCACTGCTAAAATGTGCGCAACAGAGACAGAAAGCAGTCAGCATCTGCACATTCTCGTCAAATTTCCAGCATTGCCCGCATGACACTGAACTACTTACTACGGCAGTCGTAAGTTCTACGAAGGACTAAACGACGCCTTTTAAGAAACATTGTATTATTTGGTTTAAATCATGTATCACGTTACTTTAATACTATCATGGATGTGTTACATCACACGGTGCTGTTACAACAAGGATAAATAGATGCAGGAGCGCACAAACCCGCCTACTTGCCTGCAATGCAAGTGACAGAAGAGCATGTGAAGGCTGTCGTTGGGAGACAGAACTCCAAGTCCTACGTGTCACCCCAAAAAGCATATTCGATTAATTTAGAAGAAAAAAGGCCCTGCACGTCAAAAAGACAATACTTTAACGAAGTGGCGACAACTCATTTTCATTGTTGAGTAACGGCTGCCAGCTGATTGGTTGTCTCACAGATGCAGCCGTCTTCGGGCTTCTTCCGAGCAGCCCGCACGAGACAGCCCCATCGAACATGCATTGGCTTACAAGACACGTGGAGGAAGGGAGCTTGGCGGGCGTTTTGGAACGCAGCGTACAAAAAGTTTGAGAACCTAGCCAACCAGCACAGCAAAACATTTTGAGAATAGCCATACCGTGAGTTTGCCGCGGGGTATCGGTGTCGTAATGTGTTGCATAATGTGTCGCTTTGGCTTCATCGATAGAAACACAGTTTGAAGTCTGTAGCCGTGTGAGGAGGAAGATGGTTGCTCCAGCACGGAGGCATGCGCGATGTGTCTTTAGCGGTTGCGAGTTTTAAGGTGAACTTGGGAAGTTTCAGAAGCATGAATGGCGTCAGATGTATGTACAGGGTGGCTGACCGTGATCTCACTGAGCACTGCTTTTGGAGTTGGTGGTACGTGCCGCTCTTGGGTGTGATCAACTGCCGGTGAATCATGAATTATTAATTGCTTTAGATACACTGGCATTCTTTTAGAAAGTGGCGCTGATCTTCGCGACCTGTCGTTGCTGAGTGGCCTGGTAGAGCGCTTTATGTTGCCTTGTTGAGAGCACATGATCAGATGTTTTACGGAATACCAAATAGCATGTGCCGTCGGTGAGCGTGGCGTGTCGTTCTAACCAGCATCGTTATGATCCAAGCGTTATGCTTGAACAGTGCCAGTTAGCATTTTCAACAAAATGTATCATTTAGAATGTGGCATATCTTAAGAAGATATCACAGACTTGGAATGTATTAATTTATCCCTCTGCGTCAGGAACATTTCGTCATGTAAGACTGCATCTGCCAGTCACTGCCAGGTGTAACACAAATCAACCGCACCAACCGCGTCAGCATACATCAAGCACGGAAACAGGAGAGTGGACTTCCGGCAGTTGTCTATAAGCTATCACTCAGCTTCATAAACATCTCCACCGGTAGGGACCTTTCATAGCCCCTCCACCGGTCAGCTCTTTTGGCCGGCAACCAAACCTTAACATACAGGGTTCATCAGGGCCGATTGTGCGAACGTGATATGTGCGTTGACGTGTGATGCTAGCTTAAAATCGTTTACGTATGTAACTGATGCCTGACGCGTGGTACGCGATGCCTGCTTAATTGAAATCGCATGCATGTCTAATTGATGCATGATGCGTGAGGCCTGTTTACTTCAACTTGCTTGCATATTTGAATGAAGCGTGATGCGTGATGCCTGTTGACTTGAATTCTGTCGTACCTATGTGAATAGTATTCCTTACAAATGCGCTTAACAACTCTTCATCCATTTATTTACATGCTCCTCAATACGGCATTATTTGTTTACATAATCATGCCTTCCCCAAGATTGATTGAGAGCCAATTGAGATCCAGTCTATCTGGAAATCGTGCTTACAAACACGAGATATGAACAACTCGACAATTGTGTTTTTCCTGGTCTTCATCGCTGCATGGCCAAGAGACTTGCAGGATTTCAGTGACGTTACAATAGCGTCATGGATGCCTGGGTGACCTTGAAATTGCCTCCCCGAAATATTCTACACATCTTCGCAGACGTGAGCTCAGAAACCAGAAGGGTTTAGGTCTTATGAACGGCAGGGCTGTGAACTGCACCAAATGACCTTTAAGATGGATGTTTCATTTCAAACCCGCATAGAGATGTGGAGCACTCTTAAAAAATTGAACCCTTTTTCAATACGGTGCTTTGCATCTATACGGAGGGATGGTACTCGCAGACTTTCTCAGGTGGTGCGCCCGTCTTCCAGATGTTTGTTCTCACGAGCTCGTGGAAAAACTATCTTCGGTGGAGCAATGTCTCCAGCCGTGGACATGCACACAATCGCCTTGGTAAGGTTTCCCCCCCCCCCATCTGTTTTCCCCCTTTTTGGGACAGGACCTTGCTTGGTTTTGCCTGCACTTTTCTTAAAGCCGTTTCATCAACTTGAATATTCCGTGCGGATCGGAGATGTCATCATGTGCCTGTTCCAGCAGATCGAAAAACTTGTCAACGACAACCTTGTTAAATCCGCGGGTACCTGTCGCGGACACCGCTTCTGCGCTTCTGACGCACGTCAAGATTGGTTTTTGTTTCTTTTCGTGAAGCCTCTCAACCAATGCTTCCCGGCCACTTTGAACCCGCTTTGAACGTGTGAGGTATTCCATTTGTACGGCATACTGGTACGCCAAGCTGCACACAACTGCGGACGTCAGGCCGTAAAACATATTCTCTACAGGTAGTATGTGATCTCTTAAGTCACTTTCTTGCGATGGTGTGATCACTGTCTTTCGGGCCCCAGAGCCACTCCGAGGGGACGCTTGCTAAAAAGGCGACAATGAAGTGACGTCCTGGGTGCTCCATGCAAAGCAGCCGCCTGCTTTATGCTGTTCTCCTTTGGCGGACGTGGCAGCCGGTTGCCTACCCCCACCCCCCGCTCCACCTTCCTCGGGCCGTTTTTCTCATATACACTAGACCATGATGTCTGCAAGTACGAAAGAGCGAAGGATTAAGTAAGGCGATGAGAGAGGCGTTGTGCCTGAGTCGGTAGCCGTCGTTACAAGCATCTGACTCGTCGAAGGGCATGAGGACGGGAAAGTGAAGCGTCATGATGTCTCTTCGCATTGCACATAGCATAGGTACGGCGGGTTGGTAGGTCTTAAGAAACACTTCTTGGCAACAAATGGTGCACTTTGTGGAAACGTTGACCCTGCGCCGGAATAACACGTTCCGATGACTGCAAAATTGGACACCATAATGCCATCACCTATGACCAAATTCAGCACAAATCGAAGCTACGGTCTGAAATGCGGTATGGGGCAAGCCGGA